TATAATACTGAAAATTTAAGAACATAATTTAGGATTTGTACACTACTATTTTGCTTAATAATATCTACATATATGCTAAAGGAAATATGAATGGGATCATTTAAATTTAATCTGTAAAAAAGAAACTTTCCTTGTTGTTAGGTGCTGTCAAATTTGACCCATAGAGATCCTATGAACAACAGATCTGAACCTGTCCTATACTGTGCCAACCTCCTACTTCCTGACACACTAGAGCCCACTGCAGCAGTTAGGTGCCCTTGAGTCGGCTTCAATTCATAGCAACATACAGCAGAACAAAACACTTCCCAATCCTAAAACAACTATGAGATATCATCTCACCCCAGTCAGAATAGCAAAATTTAACAGAACAGCAAGCAACAAATGCTGGCAAGGTTGTGGAGAAACTGGAACACTTATTCACTGTTGGTGGAAGAGGAAAATGGTGCAACCACTGTGGAAGGTGGTGTGGTGCTTTCTCAAAAAGTTGCAAATAGAGATACCATTTGACCCAGCAATTCCACTACTGGGAATATACCACAAAGAGACCATAACTAGCACCCAAGCAGATATTTGCACACCCATGTTTATCACAGCTTTGTTCACCATAGAAAGGATTTGGAAATAACCTAAGTGCCCATCAACAAATGAATGGATAGAGAAGCTGTGGTATATTCACACAATGAAAAACTATGCTGCACTGAAAAAAACAAGGAACTCATGCAAGATTATTCAAAATGGGGACCCTGGAGGACATTATGCTGAGTGAAGTATCTCAGTCACAAAAGGACAAATACTGCATAGTGCCACTGTTGTAAAACAGGACTGACCTCAGGGTTGGGGGAAAACTGAGAAAGATGGGTTCAATAATGTATACTGCATTGAAACAGATGAGGGAGAAAACTGTTTAAAAGAGTTATGTGATTAGGCATTATCATCATGACGGGAGTCCAGAGCGAAGGCTGCAAAGTGGAGTGGACCTGGGGGGAGGGATTGACAATGAATTTTTCTCTTACTTTTCCAAAAGGGGAGTGTACTGGGGGGGGGAGGGTTGGAGGGGAGAAAAGTGCAACAATGAATGAATGGAAATCCAAAGTTTCTGTAAATTTTCATTGACATTAATAATAAAAAAATTTAAAAAAAAACACTGGCCAATCCTATGCCATCCACAATCTATATTATGTGTAAGCTCACTATTGCAGTCACTGAGTCAGTCCATCTGGTTGTAGGTCTTCCTTTCTTTCACCATGCTTCTGTTTTCCCAAGCATAATATCCTTCTCCAGATAACACATCATTGTGAGACAAGTCTCATCAACCTTGCCTGTATGGAGCACTCTGGCTGTCCTTCTTCCAAGACAGATTTCGTTTCTTCTTTTGTCAGCACATGGTATATTCAATACTCTGCCAATATCACAGTTTAAAGACATAATTTTCCAATCTTCTTTATTTATTGTTCAACTTTCACACACAAATGAAGTGAACAACTTTGGATAGATAATTATTTGCAAGCTTACCTTTCCATGTTTCTTCTTTTTGCTCTACGGAGAGCTACTATATCATGTTTTGCAAGAGCATCTAAGGAAAGAGGATCAATTCCCTGTAATCAAATTAGCATAAAATTTGCATGCATACTTTATGTAAGTAGTTCACAAACTATTCTCAGCATCATTTTATGTTTTTTTAAAATTAAGAACCCTCCAAAATGCTTTTGTATGTTATCTGTAACTATCAATATTTATGACATTATCAGATAAAACTGAGAAATTTCAAGAATACTTATTAATCCATTTAAAAATAGTAATTCCATTTCATATTAATGTAAATTATATTTTAATGGAGATATCATGTATGTTAATTATATGTATGAAATACTTTTAAAACCAAAATATAGTGAGAGCAGTTTTCTACTTTTATAAATTTCTTCATTAAGGTTCATCTTAATAAAAGATAACTTAATTCTCAGGCCTGCCTCTGCATTCAATTTGTTATCAGATATTGTTTTGATTGAAGTACAGGGGAAAAATCTAGTCTTACATGGATATACTGAGTGTCTGTGTCTAAGGTATTTGACTGAAAATTGTCTTTCTGAGCCACAAGAATAACTGTTTCATCCTGAAGTAATTCTTGTGTCAAGGAGAGAGGATGCTATGTAGATGGGTGGGAACATGTGAATAGGGTGTCCGTCCACAAGGGGATTGGCTATCTACCATTCCACAAGGGGATTGGCCAGTCTCATCAATCTACAAGAGGATCAGCTAGTCTCACCAATAAATTTAACAGCTCTTGCCACAGAGACAGATCTTCTGGCCACACTGAGGAGAAAGCAAGACAATGTAGGACACCTTTCCTGCTTCAGCTACACCTATGGTAGCAATAACTATAGCCAAAATGGAGACTTAACATGAGATGAGACCTTGTAGGCTGGAGCAGGGGAGGGAGTGGCCAATATTACCAAGAATGAGAACTTTGTGGGGCAATTGAGGCTGGGAAGCCAATATTGGCAGGACTGAGAACTTGGGAACCATGAAGCTCGGGGCTGAGATGCCTGTGTGCACATTTTGGGAGCTGTCTTAACTGTATTCTATTATTAATCCAAATTATAACCTTTTGACATCCCCAATACAGTTCTGAGTGGTGTGTGAGCTATCACATAGAATTCTGAACCCCACAAAGCAGTAAAACTGATGTTGAGATGAGTAGAAAGAGTTATGGGAGCATGGGGGACATGTCTGACCTTATGGGAATTGGTCTTGTGTTACTCATGCTGCGGACAGGGACAGTTCTCCTTCGTGAAGCTGATAAAGGTCAGATATGGCCATCCCTACATGGCCCTTGCTCTCTTTACAGATATGTATTAGAAAGCAGAGTGTTTTAACAAACTTTTTAGGTAAGTGTGGATATTCTTTCATACTATACCAGATATCAACAAGTGGTAGTATCTTAATGGTTAGTTTCAATGAAGAATAAAAATATCATCAATAATTATCAATTACTACCTAACTTGGGAGGGACTGGAGAGCACTAAGTGAACTAACTCAGTCCCATAAGGACAAATACTGTATAAAACTATTATTGTAGAACAGAGAGGTGAGGGACTATTATTGTAGAACAGAGAGGTGGGGGGGGGGGAGGTAATCATAGTGTCACACAATTTGATGGGTGGAGGAAAGGGTGAGTAAAGGAAATGGAAAAGATCCTGTGTGAAAAACAATGTATACTAACTTTGTAAGTAAACCAGTATAAAATAAAAATTTTATTTAAAAAAATACTATCAATAATTTTTATACTTACATTAAAATCCACCATTGTGTCTGAAACTTCAAATAAATTACTTATCCATGCATGGTTTCACAGAATCATGCATTTGTTGAGTCATCAGGAAATGTTGACTCACAGAGTTGGGCAGAGCTTCCAAATGTTGACACAGTTCATGATTTTATCGTATCAAAACCATCACATTTTCACCTCAACAACCCAATCCCAAAATGGGCACAGGATATGAACAGACATTTCATTAAAAAAAAATATACTCAGATGGTAAACAAACACATAAAGAAATGTTCAAAATCTCGAGCTATCAGAGAGGTGCAAATCAAAACAACTATGAGATATCATTTCACTCCACCAACAACAGCAAAGTTTAACAGGGCAGCAAACAACAAATGCTGACATGGTTATGGAATTATTGGAACTCTTATTCGCTACTGGTGGGAATGTAAAATGGTACAACCACTACAGAAGGCGGTCTGGTGCTTTCTCAAAAAGTTGGAAATAGAAATATCATTTGACCCAGCAATTCTACTACTGGGAATATACCCTAAAAAAACCAGAGTCAACTCAAACAAATGTATGCACAACCATGTTCACTGCTGCATTATTCACAATGGCAAAGAGATGGAAGCAATACAAGTGCTCATCAATAAATGAATGGATAGAAAAACTATGGTATATCCACACAATGGAATACTATGCAGCATTGGAAAACAAATATTAAAACATTACACAGCATAGGGGAGTCTTGAGGACATTATACTAAGTGAAATATCTTAGTCACAAAAGGATAAATACTGCATAACACCACTGTTATAAAATAGGACAGACATGGGGGTGTTGGGCAGGAAATGGGGAAAGAGTGGACAGATAATGAACACTGCATTAGAACAGATGAGGGGAAGAACTGTCCAAAAGGAGTATATATGATTATGCATCATATGTAGGACAACAATCTGGAAAATGGGGTGCATTTCAGGGTGGGCTTGGGGGACGGGGAGGGTAAGGGTAGAAAATATACAACAATGAATAATTTTTTTAAATTATATTTTGTTACTATTACCATAAAGGTCTTTTAATATTATCCAAAAACTGTTTTAAATTACTTTGAAACTGAAGTGTTGAGTGTTAAGTAGGTGTTTTCCAAAACTCCAATTTTCATTTGAAAGCTCAAATATCATTGTCATTTAGCAGTGACAGTTGTTTTCCTGAAGTCAAGGTCACCATTTTTTCAAAAATTCTGTCAAATGCCCAAATCTAAATAACCACAGTTTTTCTTTCTAGAATTCTTTCAAGTAGAAATGGAGTTTCATGACACAGTGACTAGTTTAGTTCACAACTCAAACCACTGCATCAACACAACCACCATATTTTGGATGCAGTAAAAGAGTGTTGTATATATTCCACTTTCATTGCACATAATTATAAAAAGATCCATATTTAAGAATGAAATTTTAATATAATTAACATACTTTATGGCTTTATCAAGACATTATTAAAATTAAATTGGCTAAAAAAATAAAACCTTCAAAAGTCAGGTGATGTGGCAGCGAAGAATGCAGTAACTAATAGTATAGTCTGGTTGAATCCACCAGTTGCTCTGCCAGGGAAGGAGGGACAATCTCCTCCTGTACCAGTCAGATCTGATTTGACGGTACATGCACATAAAAATAATAAAATTTAAAAAAAATAGTATAGTTTGGTACCATGGCTTTAATTTGTTCTAAGACGCCAGTAATTTTACCTACCATTGTTTCTGCACCATTAAGCCATATTTTGCCACATTAAGAAAGGCATCTATTATTGATATTATGAGAAGAGTTTTGACCTGGCAGAGTCCCAGAAAGGGTCATAGGGACTCCTAGGGATTCAAGATCACACTCTGAGACACTAAAGAACACATACAATAATTAAAAACCTAATTGCTTTTTCCTCACCTTTTGATTAATGACAATGAATCCTTTGTCAGAACGCTCACAGACTTTCTTTTTCAGATGTATTATTTTATTCACTCTATCTTCAATAAATTTTCTTTCAGCTTGCACTAATTTCTCTTTCTCTTCCGCAGTCTTATAAAAGAAACCAGAGCTCACCTCTCTGAAAAATTAACAGGAACAAGCCAGTAAAGGCAGGAGGCAAAAAGAGGAAAAGATATATGGACTCTACATTAAGTATTTGAGAGAAAAGAGATTAAAAACATATTTAGGGGGAAAATTGTATAAAGTTGTAAAAAAAACTGGCATGCATACGTTTTTTCATATTCTAATGATACATTGCAAATTAGGATAAATGCATCTTCTACTCGCTTCTTCATATCTGGATGGCGAGCCCCATGATCCAAAACCAGTCCTCTGATCAACCTGTGAAAAATATGCAGAGTTTCTTTCTTTGAATATGCATACTAAAATCTGGTATAAAATCAGAATTGTACTCCAAATATTGTACTCAGACATTATAACAAAACTTCCAGGACAGACACTGTTTCTTTATACCAACTTCAAATCTAACACACAATTAGTAAAATAGGGAAGATATCTCCTTTCACATAATGTGACTGTGAAATCACAGTAGCAAGTCAAACCAGAATTATTCTCTAACTTAGAAGTTTCAAGGATATGACAGAGGTGATCAAGTAATGAAAGACAGGCACACAATGGGTTTCTTAAGAACATTTGTTCAAAATAATGATATAAAATAGCTAGAAACTGTCAGCCTAAATGTCCAACAATAGGATATTGTTCAGGAAATAATGAATCAGCTATTATATGGCCGTGGAAACTATGTAATAACATGAGAAAATATTTACAATGTTAGCTGATAAGCACACAATGGTTAACTGCAAATAAAGCATGATTATAAGTATTCTTTTTCAAAATAAGCACATTGGTATTAAAAAAGAAAGAAGGAAAGAAAGCTAAGGTTGGGGCTATGAGTGGGTGGTAGAAACAGAGGCAGGTTTTTTTTGGTTTCCTATATTCTAATTGTTCTTCCAAAAGCAAATGTTTTTATACCTTGATATATTCATATAAAGCCACTTAAATCCATGGCCTCCTTAGTCTACTCACCCTCGTGGTGAATCTTTATGCTGTAGAACAGAGCTACTCTGTGGGGTTTCCTTGGCTGTGACCTTTATGGGAGCAGTTCACAAGATTTTCTTCCTAGTTGTCACTGGGTGGGCTCAAACCAATGACCTTTACTAAATTAGCAAGCAATTTTGCTACTCAGACTCCTTGACACTCACTTGTTGTTGCTAGGTGCCATCGAGTTGACTCAGATTCCTAGAGTCCCTACATATAACAAAACCCTGCCTGATCATTCACCGTCCTCACAGCCTCCTCTATGCATGAGACCACTGTTAGTCATTGAGTCCATCCATCTCATTGAGGGTCTTCCTCTCTTTTGATGACTTTCTACTCTTATCAACTGACATATTTGTTATTTCTACTTTGTTGTTTCAAACTCAAACTCATTGCTGCCAAATCAGAATCAATTCCAAAATGACCCTCCAGTGGATTTTCATAAGGAGAGTGCTCATTTTTCACCAATGGAGTTGCTGATGGATTCAAACCAACAGAGAGGAACCACCTTTGGGTTAAGTCTGACTCATAGGGACCCTATGCACAACAGAATGAAACACTGCCCAGTCTTACATCACCCTGCCAATCACTGCTATATTTGGGTCCATCACTGCTGTCACTGTGTCAATCCTTTCCTCTTTTTCCCTGACCTTCTACTTTATCAAGGAAGATGTCCTCCTGATAACATGTCCAAAGTGTCTGAAGCAGCCTCACCAGCCACAATTTCAAAGAGCCTTCTGGCTGTTTCTTCCAAGACTGATTTGTTCATTCTTCTGAAAGTCTGTAGTATATTCAATATTCTTCGCAGATTGTTATTGTGGTTAGGTGCTGTCGAGTATGACTTACAGCAACCCTAAGAAAAACAGATCTAAACTCTGTCCTATCCTGTGCCATCCTCACAACCTCTGACACACTCAAGCCCACTGCCACAGTCACGTTCTCAATCTACCTGTTTGAGGATCTTCCACTCCTTTGCTGTCCCTCCGCCCTTACAAAAGTGATGTCTTAGGGAAGCTCTGATGGCCTAGTGGCAAGAAGCTGCACTGCAATCCCAGAGGCACACAGTTCAAATCCACCAGATGCTCTGTCGGGGAAGGAGGGACAATCTCCTCCTGTACCAGTCAGATATGATTTGACAGTACACGCACACACACAAATAATAAAAATAAAAAAATAAAAAAGTGATGTCTTTCTCCAAGAAATAACCTCTCCTAGCAACGTGCCCAAAGTATGTGAGATAAATCTTCACCACAATTCTTGCCTCCAAGGAGCACTCTGGCTGAACTTTCTTCAAGACACATATTTCTTCTTTTGACAGTCTATGGGATATTCAGGACTCTCCTCAAACACCACAGTTCAAAAGCACCAGTTCTGTTACTCTTTTTTCCAGCTCTCTGCAGCACAGAAGTGATTGAAATGACCATGGCCTGAATCAGGCAAACCCTAGTCCTCAAACTGGCATCAGTGCTCCTCAATAATCTGGAGATGTTTCTGTCTGCAGACTTTCTCAGTGCGATATGTCTCTTGATCTCCTGACTGCTGATACCAAGAGTGTTGATTGTGGATCTAAGTAAGATGAAGTCATTGACAGTTTCAAACTTCTCCATTTATCATCATGTTGCCTATTAAGCCAATGGTTCTCCTCTAGTCTTCTCATTCATATTTTTATTCATTGAATAAATATGAATTAAAGTAAATTTTTAAACAATCAAATCCATGTAAAATGAAAATAAAAATCATTTACTTCAAAAACAAAGAAACAAAAACTTAAGTCCAAGATGAGTACTGCTACACAGTCAAGCCCCTCTTTCCTCTCTGACTACATCTCCTGCTCCTTTTTCCTCTTACAATGCCCCATTCACAAGGTGGTTTCAGGGTCTTTTCAATCATTATTCCCTCTGCTTAGAACACTTTCCTTCAAGATATTCACTTGGCTAGCTCCCTCAGCTCTCCAATTTCTCATTAGAGTTGCCTTATCTACTATAAAATCACACTCACACAATTATAACTCCAGCCTCTTCATAGCATTTATCATTACTTATTTATTTGTTTACCATCTCTACCCATAAGAAACATAAGCTCCTTGGGGAAATAAATTCTGTTTTGTTTACTTTTCATTCCCAGAACACTGCCGGGCTCATGGTAAGTAGCCAATTAATATATAAATTAAAAAGATGTTGGTGGGTGTTAAATTAAAGCAATTACTGAAAGAACATTTGAAGATAAGCAAATATTCTAAAATCTAAGTACTGGGAAAATTTTAGATCATTTACGTTGTATCTGTTTCTGACTTATGCTTCATCTCCATGATCTCTACCATGAAGAGATCAATTGGGTAACCTGGTCTTCTAACAGCCAAGACAGAATCCACCACAGCCTGAAAGAGAAATGAATAAGAACAGTAAATTATTTGGTCCTATTAAACTAATGTCTCGAGCAGTCTACCAATAGACTAAACAGGTAAAGTGCTTTATTGTTGTTGTTGTTGTTGTTGTTGTTGTGTACCATCAAGTTGGAACCAACAGATAGCTGACCCTCTAGCGGCTTCAGAGGCAGTTAATCAAATGGGAGGAAACTTCCCAATTTTCTGCCACAGAGCAGCTGATGGGTTTGAACCATACACCTTCAGAATTGTAGCACAGCTTCTTACCACTAGCCCACCAGAGCTCCCTAAACTGCTGTAGGATTTATATTTTTTTAATAAAAAAAAAAATAAAGTGCTTTGAGATTTTTTTTTTCATTTAAAAAGTATGTATCATTCTACAAAAGACAGGACAAAGACAAAAGTGCCACTTTGTTATTTGTTGTTGTTGACTGCCACCGAGTCGAGCACGAGTCATAGTGACTCTATGAACAAAAGGCCTGAAACCTTTCTATAACTATTGTCATTTCTCCTAGTTCATTGGGTTTCCAGAGGTATGTGGATAAGAAGTGGACATCACTATTGCTTCCAAATCTGTCTTAAACTGGGAGCTCCACCAGATTCCGTCCATCATCGGCAGCTATTATGGCATTTGGCACGCACACACACAATGGCACAAGGTTCAGCATCACAGCAAACCCAGATTACCTCAGTGCAGCAAATTGACAGAAGTGCTGTACAACTTAGGAAAATGTTCCTCCAAAATAAAATAACACTAGACCCTCAGGGACAATTGACTTTTAAATATATGAGCCCTCTATATATACTCCACCTATGAACCTGGAGAGAGGATGAAAGGCACCCAAGCATTGAGGACTCTCCTTCATAGGGTCGCTATGAGTTGCCTGCTACTCGACAGCTCTTAACAACAATAACAACATATATATTCCAGTTCATTAATAAAACAAGGTAAGAGTTAAGTTTGTGTGTCAACTTGATCATGGTTCTATGATTTGGTGTATATGTAATGATGTGATGGGGAAATTATGTTATGATGTAGTTATCTTCCATGATGTAGTCTAATGTGACCAGCCCAGATTGGGTATAAAAGGATTAGGGTGAGATGCAATACCCTTAATCTGGTGACTCTCCTCATCCAGTGTAGAGAGAGTCTCTTCAAGGGTGTGGCCTACATGGAATACATATATTCGACATTGTTGCTGTTATATACCATGGAATTGGAACCTACTCATAACTGACTCTTCAATGGATTTTCAGAGGCTATCAATCACAGAGGAGGAGACTGCCATCTTTCTCCCTAGGAGCCTGTGGGTTGGCAGCACAACTTTGTACCACTATATTTATATATACATACTCTTTTACAAAGGTCTCCAGCTTTTTTTCTCAATTTAGATCCTGCATCTGGCTCATCTTTTCCAACTATCTGGACTTAAGCCAGCAGTCTGCCATACTGCCTGTCAATCTTAGATTCATCAGCTTCCACAGCCAGCAGCCTTCTAACCTACTGAGCCTGAGTTCATTAGCCTCTGTAGTTACATGAATCAGCAGGGGCCTCTAGCTGATATCTAACCCACAGACTTGGGACTTGACAACTTTTTCAAGCATGTGAGCCATTTACTTGAGATAGCTCTCTCTCATACATAATATAAATAATTTCATTAAATTATCTATTCCCACTCCACATTGGGGGTTTTTTCCTCTAAAGAATCCATCCTAAAACATTTATATATGTTGTTTGTATGTCAATCTTTTGTGAATTTGGTTGTCAGGAATTAATCATTCCTAATAACTAATATTATGTTTTATGCGGATGACACAACCCTGCTTGCTGAAACTGAAGAGGACCTGAAGCACCTGCTGCAGAATGTCAAGGATTGCAGCCTACAATATGGATTGAGGCTCAATGTCAAGAAGACAAAGATTATCACCACTGGACCAATTGGCAGCATCAGGATGGATGGTGAAGAAATTGAGATTGTACACAGCTTTAGTTTGCTTGGCTCCATAGTCAACACTCTTGGCACCAGCAGCTAGGAAATTAAAAGACGCATTGCCATGGGAAAGTCTGCTGTTAGGGACCAAAGTACTGAAGAGCAATGTATCTCTCTGGAGACTAAGGTGCGTCTGATACAGGCTATGGTCTTCACAATCACTTGTTATGCATCAGAGAGTTGGACAATGACCAGGGAGGATAGAAGGAAAATTGATGCCTTTGAGCTGTGGTGCTGGATAAGAGTATTGAGAATACCATGGACTGCTAGGAAAACAAACAGATTTGTCCTGGAAAGGGTTAAACCGGGTGGCTCCTTGGAGGCAAGGATTCTGAGGCTCCATCTAACATACTTTGGACATGTCGTGAGGAGAGACCGGTCCTTGGAGAGGGACATCATGCTTGGGAGGGTGGAGGGACAGCGCAGGAGAGGAAGGCCCTCTATGAGGTGGATTGATTCAGTGACTGGGATAATTGGGATGGGAGTGTCAGAGACAGTGCGATTGGCACAGGACAGAGCGGAGTTTAGGGCTGTTGTACATAGGGTCGCTATGAGTCGCAAGCGACTCGACGGCACATAATAACAACAACAACAACAATAACTAATATATTCAAATTTTAGACATTGCAGAGCTGAAAAAAATATATTATCAAACTACAGCCAACTGATAAAAACTTTCCCAAAATATCTTTTTCCTAGAATTTATTACATAAATTCTACCTTTAAAAGTGAACAAAACAAATCTGCATTTCAAAAATGTGACTCTTTTCTATCAACTATGCTTCCTTAAGTGAAAGGCTTAACGACAAGACACAAAACAACTTGCCTGTTTGTCAACTCACCTACTGAAATATGGATCTCAAGGTTCAAGGAGACCAGTATGCCAATTTACCTTCCACAAGAGATGATCTACCGGCAGCCAAGTCCCTCCTAACTTTCAAGCAATTTAAAATATTCTTATTACCACAGGAAAATGTTTCTCACTTTATGATACCTTAAAAAAGCAGAATACCATTCTGACTAATCAAATCTATAGATAAGTCTACATATCTTTGAATCCATGTTTTACGTTCAAAATAACCACATGCAACACTTAGTAATAGGAAAAAAGAAAGTATCACTATATGTCAGGCTATCTTTACTGTGAATATATTTTTAAAAACAAACAAACACAATCACATACCTCTGTTAACACATCAGCCAGCTCTTCAAGGACTTTAGTCCGTAAAGATGTTCTAGCCACATCTAAGAGGATTTCTCTTTTCATCTCCTTTTTAACTTTAACTTCCTCCAAAACTTCAAGTGCTTTTGTCTTTGCTGCTTCAAAACCTTCAGTTATTATTCGAGGGTGCAGGCCCTATCACATCAGTATAAAACTAATTATAAAGTAAATCACCCAAAGTAAAAGAAATTATGCTCCCCTAGTAATAGTTATGTCTAAAAAAAAAGTAATATTACCCATAGCAATGATATTAAGTATAAGTGTATGCACATTATTTTTATAAGAATCCTTTTATTCAATAAACCACATTGTTAAATAAAATTTGTTATTTTAACAAAAGTTTAAAGAGAATTTAGATCTTCTTTCATTTACTGCTGCACATTTTTTTTAAATTTTTATCCGATCTGATTGGTACAGGAGGAGATTATCCCTCCTTCTCCAGCAAAGCATCTGGTGGATTCAAACCACTCACCTCCGGGATTGCAGTGCAGCTTCTTGCCACTAGGCCACCAGAGCTCACCCTACTGTTGTACATTTTGCCCCCCTCCCTAACTTCCCTCTCCCCTAGTTCACTTTTTTAAAATATTCATTCATTGTTGTATAATTGCCTACTCCTCCTCCCTCCAGTCCTCTTTGCAGTATTTCTTATCCTGTGCTGTTGTACATGTCTGATCATATATTCCTTTTAGATAGTTCTTTATAATGCAATATTCATTATCTATCCACTCTTATCCTATTCTCCTCCCAATCCTCCCATGTCAAACCTGCTTTATAACAGTGATGTTATGCAGTATTTGTTCTTTTGTGTCTGACATATTTCACTCAGCATAATGTCATCCTACATGGTCACCCATATTGTATCTGTTTTATGAGTTGTTTTTCAGTGCTGTGTAGTATTCCATTGTATGAATATACCATCGTTTTTCTAACCATTCATTTGTTGATGGGCACTTGGTTTGCTTCCATCTCTTTACTATTATAAATAACATAGAAATCGACATGGGTGGGCATATATCTGTCTGGATGGTGGTTCTGGTTTCTTTAGGGTATATTAACAGCAGTGCAGTTACTGGGTCAAATGGTATTTCTATTTCCAACTTTTTGAGAAAGTGCCAGACCATCTACCATAGTAGATGCATCATATTATGCTCCCACCAGCAGTGAAAAGAGTGCCAATCTCTCCACAACCTCACCATCATTTATTGTTGTTCTGTTGAACTTTGCTATTGTTGCTGGGGTGAGATGATATCTCATAGCTGTTTTTATTTGCATCTCTCTTATGGCTAGGAATTTTGACCATTTCTTTATGTGTTTGTTTGCCATCTGAATATCTTCATCTACTTATATCCTGTACCCATTTTGTGAATGGATGTTTTTCTTGTTGAGGCACTGGAGAATTCTATAAATTTTAGATATGAGTCGCTTATCAGATATTATCAAATCATCACCAAATATTTTTTCCCAGTCTGTAGCTTTCCTTTTTAACCTAGTGGAAAAAATTTTAGATGTGATAGGATGTGATTCTTAGAAGGTGTTATTCATCTATTTTGTTTTTTCCTGGTTGTAGGTTTTTCATTATGTTTGGGAGACTGTTCATACTATGAGTTAGAGCTTCTAAAGTTCTTCCAAGTTTTTCTCTAATGAATTTTTTTCAGTATATCACATTTGAAAAATTTAACACTTACAGAAAATAACAATTGTAGGGAGGGGGAAGTCTAAACAAACAAGCCTGTGAGCCTGTTTTTGAAACTTATGACCAGTAAGTAACATCATGATAAATGGAGAAAGTGTTGAGATTGTCGAGGATTTCATCTTGTAGCAGCCAAGAAATCAAGTGACATATTGCATTAGGCAAATCTGCTGCACAAGACCCCTTTAAAGTATTAAAAAGTAAAGCTGTCATTTTGAAGATTAAAGTGTGCCTAAGCCAAGCCACTTCAATCGAGTCATAGGCGGTTACACATTGGACAATGAGTAAGGAGGATCAAAGAAGAAGTGATGCATCTGAATTATTATGTTGTCAAAGTACATCACATATTCTGTGGACTGACAAATAAACTACAATAAGCAACCAGAACTCTCTCAGCCTAAATCAAGAAGCCCCAAAAATGTTACTGGCTTGGGATGGACACAAGAGCAAAATTGATCCAATCACACAAAAGGATTTAAATTCCAGAGTTTGAGTGAATGTTTTTCTTTCCCTCTCCTGCTGGGGAGCAGACTACAGGAAGGAGGTAGTCCTGATTTCCTCTGGCAACTTCATTTATATGATGGAAACCAGCCTTAGGATGAAACAGCACTGTGAATGGAAAAGCTTAGAGACAGAAAGGATCTGGTATTAAATAACTGATTACATTTTCTAATCAACCAACCCCTGGGCTTGCCTTATCTCTATATGTTCTGTTATGTGTGATATTGTTTGAGTTTCAAGTTTCTACTACTTACAGCCAAAAGCATCCTAGCTGATAAAAGTAGCAATACTGAATTAATATAGAATTCCCAAGACTAAACACAGCACAAAGAAATATTAACTATAGTAATTTGGCTAAGTTATGCCTTGCTGAAATGGTCCTTGACAGACTTTTTGAAAAATGCAAATACTTACTTGGAAAAGAGAGATAAGTGATGCTGAGAAAAAAGAACATAGCTTGAACAAAAGCATATAGGTAGAAATGTGCACCGAGACTTCAGAAGCTAGTAAGTAGAGAAATCTGCCTAGTTAGAGAAAATAAGTGTTTTATAAAGGAAAATAAAATGAGAAATGTAGATAAATTTACAATTTGGAAAACATTCAGTAATTTCCTCCAGTTATTGTTTTAAAAGAAATGTATAATTTGGTTTCAACTTTATCAGTCATTTTTTTTCTTAGAAAGTTTTCTTCCTTAAAGTCATGGATATATATGTGTGTACATGGAGCTCTTATGGCCTCATGGACAAAGAGGTGAGTTGCCCAAAGGCAAGCAGTTGGAATCCATCAGCTGCTCCAGGGGAGAAAGGCAATCTCCTCCTGCACGATTTACAGCCTCAGAAAACCCACTGGAGGGCCAACTATGAAATATATGACTCAACAGCACAAAGAAAGTGTGTGTGTGTGTGTATATATATATGTGTGTATATATATATAAACTTTTTCAATAATTTCCTACTTGCTGAAAGAAAACATGAAGCACTTATTAAAGAATATCAAAGACTACAACTTTCAATAAGAGAAACAAAAATCCTCAAATCCTCACAATCAGACCAAAGACAACATCATGATAAATGAAGAAACAAATGAAGCTGTCAAAGATTTCATTTTACTTGGATCCATAATCAACATCAGCCAAGAAATCCGACAACATATCGCACTGGGCAAACCTGCTACCAAAACCTGCTGTCGAGGTTCTTAGGAGCAAAGTTGTAAGGACTAATCCAAACCATGGCATTTTTAGGAGTTTCATATGCACATGAAAGTTAAATCATGAATAAGGAAGATAGAAGAGTAATTGATGCCTTTGAATTGTAGTTCTGGTGAAGAATATTGAATACACCATGAACTGCCAAAAGAATAAATGAATTTGTCTTGAAAGCAGCGCAGTCTGGTGTTCCTCAGAGGTGAGGACGGTGAGATCTCGTGTCACATACTCTGGGCTTATCTCAAGGGAGGTCAGTTCCTAAAAAGGAACCATACTTGGAAAAGTGACGTTTCAGCAACTGAGAAGACAACCCTCAATGAAATGGAATGACAAGGTTACTGCAACAGTGGGCTTATGTACAGAGGAGGCTGCAAGGACATAACAGAGTAGACAGAGTTTCATTCTATTGTCACAGGAACACTGTGAGTCAGAGCTGACTTAGTAGCACCTAACAACATATAGCATCAATACTTCATTCTTCAAATATTACTGTAATAAAAGGGTTTGGTAACACTTTTAAAAGATTAAATTGTTTCCCATTTGTAATTGTCCAGAAATTTCTTGATTTAAATTAAATGTCACTGTCTTAAATAAAACAACTCTACTAGCAAAGAAAGAACTTTCCATTCAAAATAAAACTCGACATCAGTGTGAAGTCTGTAAAATTCTAATACCTCAGAAATGTAAAGGTCAGCTTGTTTTAGTAACTCTCCGATAATTAGAACATTTGAAGTAGTACCATCTCCCGTAATGTCATCATGGGCTGTTGCTACTTTAGCTATCAAGGAAGCTGTTGGGTGTTGTATTTGCTGAAAAAGTAAGCAACAGATTTTTTAAAAGACAAAGACAGGATAGAGAAGTAGTTCTACAAAAACAAGATAACCTAAGGGTCAACAGTAAAATTAAAAAACGAAATAAGATTCATTCTGCAAGTTTACAAGTTTTTGTGCTATAACTTAATAAATGTCAAGTGCACAATTTAAAAGCTGAGAACTAATGAGGTTTGAATATTTTTTACAAGTCTTTGCTTCAGAATGCAATGACATTTTCAAAATAAGATTAAATCCTTCCGTCTCAAAGATTAATAACGTTTACTAAAACTGAAAAGGATTCTTTTTCCCCATGACTACAAAGAATACAACATCGTGCCTTTAAAGGATGCTATCTAGATGTAGCCCTAAACTATTAGTTGGACAATACAAAGATTGAAAACAGTGAACAAACATTTTTTTTATTGAGCCTTACTGTACCTCAAGATTGCAGTATTTAATTAACAGCCTTGTTCTTAAAACATAGAAGTTATACTATGTTCTTAATTCAAGTTTATTAAGGCTTATTAAAGCAGCTCTCGTGGCACAGTGAGTAAGCAGTTAGCTGCTACCTGAGATAATCTGCAACAGCAAGTAGGGAGAAAAATGAGGCGGTGTGTTCCTGCTAAGATTTACAACCTCCAGTGGATTTTAGAGGCAGTAAATCTCACAGAAGCAGACTGCCTATCTTTCTCCCGCAGAACAGCTGGTGGTCTTGACCTGTTGGAGGGACAGTACAGGAGAAGACGACCCTCGATGAGATAGACTGAGTTACTGGGATAACAGGGATAAGTGTGTTGAAGACAATAAGATTGGCAAAGGATAGAGCAGAGTTTAGGGCTGTTGTACATAGGGTCGCTATGAGTCGCAAGTAACCCAACGGCACATTACAACAAGCCACCAGAGTTCCCTAATAGGTTGGGGATGTTGTTGTACACCATCAAGTTGAAACCAACCCATAGCTGGCCCTCTGGCAGGTTTTCAGAGGTTGTTGATCGCACAGGAGGAGGTTGCCCAACCTTCTCCTGCAGAGCAGCTGGTGGATTTGAACCATGTGCCTTCTCAATTGCAATATAGCTTCTTGCCACTGGGCTATTAGTGCTCCCTACAGGTTGGGGATAAGGCTTATTAAAATCAATAGCATCAGCTCACCATCTCATGGAGCAGCACATTGCCATCTTTGGTGAGCTTTATGTCACCTGCTCCAGAAACAAGCCTGTTCAGAGAACAGCAATGTTATCAACCTCATATGACAAGAGTCAAGAGAGCACTGACAGTTCTTATCACTCCACTGTACTAGATTAATTCAGGGAACTGGGCTTGGGAAACTACAATTGAACCACAGGAAACACTATGATAGATAGCACCATTTGCAACTCACAGAATCACTTCCCTCCAGATGGACTGCTATGGCTATTTCATTCTAAATGGAGCACACACAGGTTTCAAGAGCAGTTAACATGTGGTTATTCAAACATAGGTACTTGGGAGTCTACAGCCACAAATTTGTAAATTTCCTGCAGGATTACTTTGAGTCTTGGTGAATGTTATCATTCAGTCACTCAATTTAGTTTCCCTCAGCCATCACACTTAACTTAATCATCAAGTTACATTAATTCTACAACTTAAACATCTGTTGCATCTACTTCCTCCTTCCCTGTTCCCACCGTAAATCATTTTCACTGTGCACTATTTCTCATTTTCCTGTTATCTCTGAACTTGAAAGCATTCTCTAAACGACATTTATCTTCCTAGTACACAATGTGATTCAGCCAGGTCACTTTAAGATTTTAAGAGTTCTTTGGGGGTGTAATCTCTAGAAAGCTGTGCTGCTAGCTAACATGCCTTTCTGGTGGTCTGAATCAACCAGCAGCTCCATGGAAAAAGATGTGCCATCTCCTCCCTTAATATTCATTTAAAGCCTCTGAAAACCCACAGGAGTGTCAGCTGAGTTGGTTCCTACTTGGCAGCAATGGTCTCTATCACTTTATTCGGTGATGCTGATATTCACTATTTTCAAAGTAAAATCCAAACTCTTTAGCAAAGACTTTGACTTTTCCCCAATCTGTATATCTTTCCCACAAGCAAATCTTATGATTCCAATACATTGTGCTTTGGTTTTGTTTCCACTGGATTTACACTGCTGAGCTCTGTTGTTCCTGAAGTTCTCTTAGAAGTATCTTTTTTTTTCTATAACTGACGAACTTCAAGAGTCTGATCAAGCATCATCTGTTATGAGAAAGACCTTTTCCTTTCCTCAACATAACCACAAACAGAGATGCCTGTATGTACTCTCCAGTCAGAACTGACTCATAGTTGACCCTCTAGCTGGTTTTCAAAGGCAAAGGGAGGAGATTGTGGATCTTTCTCCCACGGAGCAGCTGGGGGATTTGAACGGTGTGCCTTTGGGTTGACAGCGTGACTGCTAATCACCAAGCTCCCAGAGCTAGAGATATTAAATTAGTATTTCTCCCTCTAGTATCCCCCTGCAGGCAGAACTATCTTAGTCATCAGTGTTCTCAAGATTGCTATTAAGTGCCATGGAGTCAAGTACAATTCGCAGTGACCCTATGAACAAGATCTGAACCATGTCCTGTCGTGCGCCATCCTTATCCCTGACACGCTTGGGCCCACTGCCACAGACACTATCAATCTAACTTGTTGAGGTTGTTCCTCTTTTGTTGACCCTCCACCTTCTCAAGCAGGATGTCTTTCTTCAAGGATTAGCCTTTCCCAAAGTATGTGACACCAAGCCTCACCATCCTTGCTTCCAAGGGGCGCTCTGAATAAGTAGCACAAAGTATTATCTGCAGTAACCATTTACTCCATTTAGGATTTATCTTTCCTCATTTCCCCCATCTTCCTCTAAAGAAGGTGATGGTGTTCGGTAACTATATGCTGAATGGATGAAGACAGATGAAGATCGCCGCTGCGAACCAACCCCAAATTATCTGATGAATACACAGACTAAGTACATGTAAACTCAAACACCAGGGGAGTTACATTCCCTATGTTACTGAGACAATAAATAAATGGGCTTTCTAATTGCAAATTAACATCACAGAGAAAAGTCGGTGAGGTACGAGTCTCCACAGATTCATTCAAGGAGCCCTTTCCACGGGAGATTTTTTTCTCCTCTCCTGTTACGCTAGAGACAATCTCTGGGCAGAAATAAGAAGGAAAACAGCCCCCACTGCGTCCACAAAGCTCCTCCGGAGCACGTCGAGCTCAGAGCACGCTGGGGACCCCAACAATCCCCGGCGCCCTAACGGCCGCTCCGACCGCCGCCTCACATTTTCATGGTGCCTTTGGGCCCCAGGTTGGTCCTCAGCACATCCTGCAGCCCTCGGGCGGCGCATATATTTACTGACAAAGCTGCTTGGGCCAGCGCCACCTCAGCTTTGGAGTTTACGGCCCCGACTGCAGCCATGGGGATTAGAATTAAGATAACAACCTCGCCGGCAAAATCAGCCTCGGGCACGTTTCGGGGGAGGAGGAGCGAAGACACGCCCCACTCTGCTAGCATTAGCCAATTGCTGTCGGGACCGGAAATTACGCTACCAAACAGCGCCGTGGCTAAAGTCGGGATGGCCTTGGTTCCAGTCGCAAAGATGGCGTCGTCCGGGAAACGAGTGGTGAATCAGGAAGAACTGCGACGTTTGATGAAGGAGAAGCAACGCTCGAATACCAATCGGAAACGAATAGAATCTCCCTTCGCGAAATATAACCGTTTGGGGCAGCTAAGCTGTGCCCTCTGTAACACCCCGGTGAAGAGCGAGCTTCTGTGGCAGACTCACGTCCTGGGAAAGCAGCACCGAGAGAAAGTGGCCGAGCTGAAAGGCACGAAGGAAGCTACCCAGGGGCTGCCCGCCAGTGTAGAGCCTCAGTCCGCCAAGAGGAAGGCGCCGGAAGCGAGCAGCCAGGATGTCAAAAGAGTAAAAACCTTCCCGGTGCCTCAGGTACAGCCCTCCACATCCGCTTTGCCCGCCAGCGTTGTTGATAAATCCGGAAAGCAGTCTCCTCTAGCTACCTCCAGTAAAGCTGTAAGACTCTGCTTACTCCCTGATTATGAAGATGAGGATGATGAGGGGGAAGAGGAGGGACGAGAAGGGAAGAAAGCGGTGCAGCCGGACGCGCAGGGCAAGGAACACTCACTTCCCTCCATTCGTGGGGCAACGAACAGTGTGCTGCCGAACGATTTCTTTGATACAAGTCCTCCTAAAGCCCCCTTAATCCCTCATTCGGGATCAATCGAGAAAGCTGAAATACACGAAAAGGTGGTGGAAAGGAGAGAGAACACTGCGGAGGCGTTGCCCGAAGGGTTTTTTGACGACCCTGAAGTCGATGCGAGGGTACGAAAGGTCGACGCCCCAAAGGATCAGATGGACAAGGAATGGGACGAATTTCAAAAAGCCATGAGGCAGGTCAACACCATTTCCGAAGCCATCGTGGCTGAAGAGGACGAGGAGGGGCGCTTGGACCGGCAGATCGGGGAGATTGATGAGCAGATAGAGTGCTACCGGCGGGTGGAAAAGCTGCGGAATCGCCAGGATGAGATAAAAAATAAGCTTAAAGAGGTTTTTACCATAAAGGAACTGCAGAAGAAGGAAGAGGAGAACGTTGGCAGCGATGATGAAGGAGAACTGCAGGATCTGTTGTCTCAAGATTGGAGGGTAAAAGGGGCTTTGCTATAAAAGGCTTCAAAAGACCTGTTCAGGACCCTGTCCTTCTGTCTAGAAAGTGCCGTCTCCTGCAGCGATCTCGTCAACTCTGTGCCTGGAGGACTAGCTCCTTGACCAAGCTGTTGGGATAAAATGAACCTATGAGAGACATTGCAAAGTCTGTGTAAACTACATTTGCAGTTAATTTTTTTCAAGTTTTTTTACGCTTTTCATACATTGACAGACTTAAGTGTTTAAATTTTGAATTGTAAAAATCTGTTGGCTATAAATATTGCACATGGTTAAATATATATTTACTTAAGTACTTCTGTTTTGAAATGTGTAACTATAAGTCCATCCAACAGACAAACTTTTTTAGATGAAGATAAGATAAATGTGTAGTTTGGGGTGTATGTGGCCTTTTAAGACTTCTAAAAACTACCCAAGTGGTTTTTGGTGTGTGAAAATGCTCATAAACACCTAAGTCATTCAAGGTCTGCCACTTCTCCGAGTATTCTGGAGGGATTTCGTTGTGTTTGTTTCAAAAACATGATTTAAAAGGAGAGGAAGTAAAATACATGACAAGTATGATCATCTTCAAACTAAAAGTTTCACTTGACTAATTATGTAGGTGCACCTGAAAATTACCTTTGACTTGTTTGTTGTTGTTATGTGTCATCGAGTTGTTTGCGACTCATAGCAACCCTATGTACAAGAGCCCTAAACGCTTTGACTTAAAAAAAAAAAAAATTACTGAGATTGAATAAATCTTGAATGGGTTAGAATCTATATTTTTTTTTGCATCTATGTTATTTTGAAAGCTCTCTAGTTTAATATAAAGAGCCACTGCCCTCAATCCAAAAACTTTTAGTATTTTTCCATCAGTAATACATCCATAAGTTTACTATCTTCTGTATGAAAGAAGTACTGCCCCTTTATTTTTATCTCATTGCATCTTTATTAACTGCATTTTGTGACATGTTACAGAATTACAGGTTCTGTATATTGTAGAATAAGTTGTTTTTATAGCAGTAACAATTGGTCATTGACAGTTTCAATTACACCATGTTATTGTTGTTAGGAGTTGGCAGCGCTCCTAGCCACTGTTTACAACAACAAAAGCCTGCCCATTTTATGCCATCTTCATGTGCTATGCTATACTCCTCACTGTTGCAGCTACTACTCTGCTGTCACTTGTTATGCATCAGACAGTTGGACAGTGACTAAGGAGGATAGGAGAATTGATGCCTTTGAGCTGTGGTGCTGGAGAAGAGTTTTTGAGGGTACCATGGACAGCTAGGAAAACAAACAGATTCATCCTGGAGAGGGTTAAACCAGGCTACTTGGAGGCAAGGATTCTGAGGCTCCATCTAACATACTTTGGACACGTTGTAAGGAGGGACAGGTCCTTAGAGAGGGTCATCATGCTTGGGAGAGTGGAGGGACAGCACAGGAGGGGAAGGCCCTCTATGAGGTGGATTGATTCAGTGACGGGTAATTGGGATGGGTGTATCATAGACAGTGCTACTGGCACAGGACAGAGCAGAGTTTAGGGCTGTTATACATAGGGTTGCTATGAGTCGCAAGTGACTCGACGACATATGACAACAACTTTCCCAAACATGATGTCTTTTTCCAAGACTGTCCCCTCCTGATAAATTTTAAAGATTGTTGTTAATTGGCATCAAGTTCAGTTTAACTCAATAGTAATCAAAACTTTGCAAAAAAATTAAAAAAAAACTTTGCCTGTGGGTTTTTCAAAAATTAAGTATTCTAGAATATAACAGTGAATAGTAATAATAATAAGCTACAATGTATATAATTGTCTTCCTCTGAGCTAAAGGTCTGGTGTTTTGATATAGTCAGTCCAGATCCGTTTCTAAGTCTGTTGAGTTTGTATATTACTTGGAACACTTAGGTGCAGTTCATATATAATGTCATTCAGATGTCTGTCTTCTAGACATATATATGGGGTACTTAATATGTTCATAAGATAACCCACATTTCCAGGTACACTAAAACATATTGAACATAATACTTAAGTGTATCACAAAGTAGAATCTGTTTGTTATTGAGCCACTGTATGTACCTTTATACTTTTATTTAATGTGCCTTAGTTAGTTCATAACTGTTGGATGTATTTAAGTCGGTAGTTCATCCCCTGGGGACGGCCTAGATAATAACTCAGTCTAGTTTAGCTGAAACCAAAGATTAATAAAAGAAATATTGAGAGAAAGTATGGAAAGCCTTGAATGTTAGGAGTAGGAATTCCTTCTGCAGGAAATACAGAAATCTGTAGGGTTTTGAGTAAAGAAACAGTGTGGAAGAGTATTATAAATGCCAAACAGGATGAACAGAAAGAGAGGAGAAGAAAACTAGGAGGCTATTTGGGCACTAGTTTTCTCAGAAGACTTTGATTAGGTTTGATTGAGAGGGAAGGAATAAAATTGGATTTCACAGGAAAGGCTGACATTGTGGTGAGAGCCTAGACATGGAAGAAGAAAAGCAAGTGATAAAGATGGGATGTAAGCTTTCTTAATGTGAATAACTAAAACATGGAACACTGAGCTATTGCTGTGTGTCATTAATTAGCCTCTGCTTTTGGCACAAAGCCTTTTGCTTTATTGAGTTGTCAGCTGGTCAGTGCTAGCAGCTTTGACACATAGATAACATGATTGCCACACTCAAGGGTATAGAAATAAACCCCCACACTGAGCATTTTCTATCATTCATGTCTTTAATATTTTAGACTATGAAAAAAGACAAATTGGGCTTGAATAGTTCTACTAGTCGGCCCATTTCTACTTAGCAAAAAATCAATCGTCATCAAGTTGGAATTATTAGCTGGGTTTCTGAGGTAGTCGATTGCAATGACGAGATTGCCCATATTTTCCCCAAGGAATTAATGGTGGATCCAAACAGCCAGAAGGCTCAGCCTGTGGTTTGGCAGCACAATTCCCTACAGATTACCAGAACTCTCTTAGGCTAAAGATTAAAAGCAAAGAAAAAATTTCATCTAGAATATTAACACTTTTCCCCTTTGTTAGTAGGATATTCTGCCTTTATATGTACTGTTGTTCTTTTTAAATCTGGTATATATTAATGGCACATTTCATTTTGGATGTCTCAAAAGCTCAAAAGCCATATGTGACTCAGCTCATTGTCATCAAGTCAGAATTGACTCACAGATAACCTTCCATTGGGTTTTCAAACCGCACAGGAAGAAACTGCTCACCTGTCTACCTCTGAGCTGCTGGTGGATTCAAACCACCAGAGGCAGGGCCTTTGAGTTAGCACAAGTCCAAACCAACACATAGCTGACTCTCCAGTGGGTTTTTAGAGACTGTAAATCACACAAGAGGAAATTGCCCATCTTTCTCCCACAGAGCAGACGGTGGATCCAAACTGCCAACCTATGAGTTGGCAGCACAACTACTTACCCACTGGGCCACCAGAGTGCCCTGCCTTATGAGAAAAATAAATCATGCTCAGGACGTAGTAGGCAGATGAATTAAACTAGGGCAGAGGATTTATTCCAGGGAACAGTGGAAGTTATAATTAGAAAAGTAGATTGTGAGCTATTGTGGACAACCTAACAAAGTGCCATGCTCTGGGGACTTAGAACTTTCTCTACTTTTTTTACAATTATTTATTCATTGCAAATATCTGTTGTCACCGACCACCCGACCACGGTCGTGACAAGAAACTCAAGGGGTTTCTTGGTGAAGAGCAGGTGAGGGACGAAGTCGGCGAAAATGAGAGTCTGCACACCAGGATGATGTAGAGAGCTCTGATTTATTATGCTAAAAGCTTGCTTTTTATACATTTAAACTTGTTTAAACTTGACTTATAGCCAACATTTTGTGATTACAAAGCTCACATAAGATTTTAACAAAAAGAAAGTATTTTCTATTACTAAATAATAGCATCGGCTATTAAACATTCTTTGAAGAAGAAACACAATGACCTTATGTTGGTCATCTGCTAGACAATGGTTAATGGTTTACATTTCACTTCCTTTCCTCTCCTACTTTGTGTCACTGTATTTTAGCCACCTTTGTTTTTGCCTTTATACTCATATTTGTACTGTACCTAACGAATCTTAACATCTATTTTCTTACACTCTGGACCATTCCTATGTTTAACAATAGCTTTTGCAACTTATTTCATAAGATTTTAATTTGTTTTTTGTTTGGCAATGTGCACTAAGGCGGATGACTTCCTTTAACTTGTTTTTACCAAGTTAATTTGTAATATTCAATTCTTTTTCCTTGGAATACAAAACGTCTGTATAAGGAAGAGGTACTGGTGTTGGAGTTGGCAGGACATATGGTCCTTTATAAGTACTTTCTTCCCACCACTTGTTATTTATCTGGTTATATTTCCTATTTCTTGAAGAGACCTTTACTTTTAGAGAAGTTTGTCTTTTGAGTCTTTTCTTAAACCTCTCTGTTTTATTCTCATTAACTATGGCTTTCTGCTGTTAAAACTAGTCTAAACTTTCTCTTAATATACAATTACATTACTAAATATGAGTTGCAAGTATCACAAAAGAGGAATTAGATACATACTCAAAGATCATATTCAAAATTATACTTTTAAGAACAATCTCAATTTCTTTTATATTTTCATCTTGTATGTTATCATTTCCAGGAACATCAAATGGTTCCTGATTAAGGACTTTAGTTAAATCTTTATCCCAGTTCTGGTGAAGTTCCCTTGATTTTTTCCCCAGAAACTCCCATTCTTATCCTAGAAGCAACTTAATTTCCAGAGGTTTCCCGGGATTGCGAAGACCCATCTGAAACAAATATCCAGGCATCAGCCCACTCACAAGCACAGGGCTTGCAAGATTCCCTCTTATGCTATCCTTGAGGTCAGAGACCCCGTACAGGCACGGACGACCCATTTTGTCACACAGGCGTCGTGGCCAGAGAGGACAGCGAGGCGGGTGTGGCAATCTGTCTTTAAAAAAACTCCCAACAACAACATAGTGCTTATCACCACCTAATATATCATTTATTCATAAACGT